TGAGAGTTTAAGTTAAGCTAACGGCATATCATCTGATTTTCAAGTGAGCGGTGTGCTCCTATGGACCTGAGCCTGGAGCGAACTTTCCCTTTGCTACTATTGTAGTGTTATCATGTGCCAGATATCTGCAAAATGATTATGCATCTAACTTAGCTGTTAGTAAGCACTGTGATCTTCTGAGTATGAAGGACTGTTCACACAAAATCAGGTGTTGTTTTTCAGTACCCAACTCTGCTCCAAAATGCAGTAATGGTGAGCACATCTTCCTTCTTAGAGCACTACACTTTCCTCTACCCGGGGACCAGAATTTAGGACTCTATCATCCAGTAGTTTGTAAAATAAGTCCTATGTATCTCCCCATCTAAACCATGAGCCCCAAGGTGGCAACAACAACCCTATTTTTTTTCGCCATTGTATTCTCCATGCCTAGAAAACGCTACGTGTACAATATTTGTTCAGCAAGCAAATGGCTGAGGCCAGTCCTCTCTTAGAACATTTCCTTTCCTGCTTCATAGCATTCGCACAGGTCTATCCCTTTCCCTTATGTCCCAAAGATAAACATTCTCCAAAGAACCACCCTTGGATCTCTTTTCCCATCTCAAATATTGAGACACACTGTCTCTCTCACTGCGCTCTCCACATGACTTCTTTGCCAAGTTACAACCCTACATTTTAATTGTCTTCAGCAGCCCTTGCTCGGTTACAGCGATAGTATTACTATCTGCACGAATTCAGGCAAATCAAGCCACTCTGGGAAGAGCAGACTGCTCACCCCAACGTGGTGCCATTTCATCTCTTTTGCGTATAAAATCTTCTTCTCAAAGCTAGCCTTCAACATTGGTTGCCAAATATTTCTCACAAATATATAATGTCATCAGATACATTGTCCATCCCCCAACATGACTATACAAAGTCTGTCTAGTCTTCGATGTACAGTTCAAAATCCCAGGGGTTGTATTTGCTCTCCTTGAAGCCCTCTGCCACTTGCTTGCATATTTCTTCTTCCTACTTAACAGTGTGTCATCTCAGAGGGCAGAGACTGATTCTAATCCATTCTGTATCTCCCACATTTTCTTTGGACTACTGAAGACACTAACCCTATACTGAAGTGGATCTGGCTTAGACCCTGTCAGTCATCCTACTTAAAGCCTGTTTATCAGTCTCCACGCTTCTCTCTCTTCTCTCTCTCTCTCTCTCTCTCTCTCTCTCTCTCTCTCTCTCTCTCTCTTTGGGGTTTTTTTTGAGACAGGTTTCCCTGTAGCACCAGCTGCCTTGGAGCTCACTTTGTAGACCAGGTTGGCCTCTCAACCTCACAGAGATCACCTGCCTTTGCTTCCTGAGTGCTGGGATTAAAGGCATGTACCACCACACCTGACTTGTCTTCATGTTTCTTGACCCAATGACTAAAATTCCTTCAAACAAATACCTCCCTATTATCTCAGGTCCCTGTACATATATGAACTCTCTTTCAATCTAGAAAACTGCCCCACCATCTCCATCCTGATCCTTATGAGTCTCTACCTAGCCTCACTATCACATCCTTGTGGAAGTGATAAGTTCTCTACATCCTTCAGCTTTCCTTAACCACTAAGTTCTGTTATACATTTTCCTTTAAAAAACATTTTATTATTTTCATTTTGTGTGTATGAGTATATTTTCTACATGTATGTCAGTGTGAGAGAGACAGTGTGTCTACATATCATGTCATGCATGCCCGTGGACGTCAGAAGAGGGTGTCAGATCCCCTGGAACTGGAGTTATATATAGTTCTTAGCTATAGTATGGGTGCTGAGACTTGAACCCGGATCCTCTGCAAGAGCAGTCAGTGCTCTTTACCACTGACCCATTCCTCCAGCTCCTCTGCTATATATTTTCATAGCCCACCCCACATACTTAGCCTTCATAGTCCTCATTGCTAAAAAAATGTGATTGCATGCTCACATGATTACCAGCCTCTTCCCCATGAAACTGTAAGTCTGAAAGAGCACAGGCCAGGCCTATTTTGCTCACCTTTGTTATCGTCGGCACAGTGCCTACCTACATCACCAAATACATTGATAGAAAGAAACAAGATTTTGAATGGTTGAATCGACAAAGACAGTTTGACAGTACATTAGACCTTTGCTACTTGAAGTGTGATCAGTAGAACACCAGTTTCAGTATCTCCAAGCTGCTTATTAAAATGTTCAGGCCCCTTCCTAGAATCTCAGATTAGAATTATGTTATTAGAATGATATTATTAAATTATTCCAATGGTTTTTTTTTTGCACAGTAATGTCTGAATACCTTCATACCCCTGAGATTTTAGAAATTTCAAAGCATGATCTTCAGACCTGAAATGCACTGAAAGATAAGAGTCCACCAAATCACTGTATAAATGGAAAAGCTAAGGCTCTTGGTGTCAAAGTCATGTGTCCAAGGCAACCAGAGTCAAGAATAGAACCCAGGTTTGCTAATACCCAGGCCGATACTCTGCTCTAGTACACAGTTTGTTTACTCCTTTTCTATCTGGTCACTCTGGATCCCTCAGTGATACCTGTTGTTCTAAAACATTTTCTGGTGCTAGAACAGCTTTTCTTCTACCTTCCATATCATATATGGAAGTCTTGAACCACCATTATTTCAAACATCCCTTTCTTGATACTTCCCCTTAATCCCTGCCTCTGTGATCCTCCCTGGTACCTATTGTCTGGGATATTCTAGAGTTTCAGAAAGACTAGTAGCAAAGGATCACTGGTCTTTAGAAATACAAAAGAGAACTCCTTTTTTTCTGTAGTTCAGACAACACAATATACCCGGCTTTTCCAAAAATGAGAGCATACACCATCAGAGCTGCTGTAGAAAGCCCAAGAATATCAGTTTGCAACTGAAAAACAAATGGGCTATTAGGCCATATTGAGAAAAGTCTAGTCTCCAGAAGTAAATGATGACCCTTTGCCTTTTGGTCTTGTCAGATCTGAGGCTTGAAGAGAAGACATAATTGCTATCTTCAACTAGCTAAAGAAATAGCAAATTTGTCCCAGAGAAGTCTAAACAATCAATGAACAGAAGCTCTAAGGAGATGGATTTGGGTTTATAATGGAGATAACTTTCTGACAGAGTTGTTGAAAGATACAAAGAAGCACCCAATGAGCTGTCTGTTGCTGCAGGCAATTTACATAGCCATCAGTCAACAAATGGGACGCTGAGGACAAGTGCAAGAAATGTGCAGGAGTCACTGGCTCTTAGGGAGCTTTCTAGTTTTGAGGTTTTACAGTTCTAAAATTGTTTAGTGCCAGATGACCCCAAGCTCTCAGGAAGTAAGCACAGGATTTCTTCCTAAAAGACACAGTTTGAAGCTGAATGTGGGGTAGATATGCCTACAACCATGGAAAAGTGAAACCTTTCTAAGCATTATTTTCAAAAAATGAACTGAGCTGGCCAAGAGAAACCTAGGCAGCCCCTCCAGGAAGCCCAGGTAACTTCGGGCTCCATAGAAATCAGTTCCATCCCATTCCAGGCTCCTCCTACTCTACACAAGTTCAGGCTGCTGCTTTCCCAAAGAAAAATTAAAAAAAAAAACTTGCTAAGAGATGGCTGGTATCCCTATTGTTCTACACTTGCCCAACAGACAAAGATGTAAAACTCTCCCTAAAGAAGTAATGAAAAAAACCAAGGTTTCTTTGTGCTTTAATTTCCCATCGGAAGAGTTAGCTCTCTGGAATCTTGAACAATTTCCTTAACCCTACTGTGCCTCAGTTTCCTCATCAGTAAACCAAAGATAATAACAGTCTGCTTCTTAGGGTTAACATAAAAATTCAATGAGATAATACACATTCAACCATCAGCCCAACATCTGAAACATTAAACACTCAAAATGTTACTGATTGGTATTTTGTGCTATAATTATTATCAGAAACATGGCAATGTGACTAATTCTGGAGAGCAGTCTCTATCAAGCAACTTAGGGCCCTTCCATCGGGCCCCTCTCTCCCTTACAAGTTCAGAAGGGATAGGATAGTTTCACCCAGTCTTCTCATAGCTTCAGACAAACCAAGCCTGAGGACCCAACCCTCAATAATCCATGCCATTCACACTAGCAATCCTAGCTCTCCACCCTCTTCTTTCTGCCCCAAACAGCCACCCCTCCCCCAGCTACAGTCAGAGGAGCACCCAACTGAGCAGACAGCTCTTCACAACCCATCAGGTGTGTTTCCTTGCTCCCAAGGACACAAATGGACCTGAGAGGATGCCCAGCAATGGGGGTTATGCAGGATCCAGTGCCTGGTCTAGGCTGTCAGCACAGCTACCTGGGGTTAGGGGTGGGAAGGCAGTGTGGCTTTCCTCATGTAGTCCAGAAAATCCTCCCAAGTTTGTGGAGGAACTCAGGCCCTACCCCACAATGAGAGTCGGGGGGGGGGGGTCTCCACCTGCTAAAGAGGAAGCAGTTATTTACAACTTTCTACTTACTTGCATCTAGAGATGGGAATTGGGAGAGGGAAAGGAGCTGTACCTTCTTCCTTATTTCCAGCAGCGAGACATAGCTGCAGAGAAAGAGTTAAAGGAGGACGGGAGCTCCAGCCATTACCCCATCCTTGGTGCTTAGGGCTGTCTGGGGGGTCATGACAGTGCTGTCTGTTCTGGCTAGGGGCCACTCTGTGGCTTTCTGCAGCAGCTGTCGGGGCCCCCCAAGCAATTTGCAAGGTCAATGCTGACCTGCTTCTAAAGAGGAACACAACAATTCACTGACAATGAAGCAAATCGCGCATACACCACCACACAGCAATCCCCCCCCCACTTCCCCAAGCCAGGTTTTACCCCAGCGCCTCGCCTTCTAGCCCAGATGCTGCCTCTGAGCTTCCACCAGCCCCACTAGGGAACCCAGGATAGCATCACAGCTGCAGAGCATGTCTCGCCTCCCCAACCAACCCAAGGAGACTCTCAGGAGGCGGGAGAGATGCTATCGCTAAAGGAAACCTGAGCTTGGGGGAGGGGGAAGAAGGAACATCTCTGTCTCTTACCGAGAACCACAGTCACTTCCCCGAAGCAGAGAGGAGAAAAGGATGAATGAAGTGAAACAAGTTGGAGGCTGAGCCCTACCAGAGCTCGGCTTCTTCTTTCTCTGTGTCTCTCTCCTGGTCTCTCTGTCTGTCTCTCGGCTTTGCTAGCTAGCTTGCGCGCGCTCACGGTCTTCCTCTTCTCTCTCTCCCTCCCTTTCTCTCCCTCCCTTTCTCCTCTCTCTCTCTCTCTCTCTCTCTCTCTCTCTCTCTCTCGTCTTTCCCTCCCTCTGTCTCCCTCTCTCTCCCTCCCTTCCTCTCAACCTCCCTCCCAACCTTCCTCCCCTTCTCCCCTCCCCCTTTGCTGGTTTTCCCACTGCCTGCTGCTGAGCACGCGGCTATGCTGGGGTTCTGAATCCAGGGCTGCAAGGCTTTAGATTTGTGGTCGTTTTACGAAAGACTAAAGTAGTCTTTTATTCTTTGAGGCTTCCAGCAGAGAAATAGAGGGAACCTCAGAGAGAAAGGGAGGGTCAGGGGAAGCAAAGGGAATAGAAAGAGAGCAAAAGGGTAAGAGCGAATAAGAAGATGAAGGAATGGATTACTGGAGCTGGTGTGTGATGCTTACTTGCCTCTTCAAGACCGAAGAGTGAGCTTCCTCCCTTTCTGTCTTTTCTCCCTTACATCCCTTTTCTGTCTTCTCTCCCTTATGGGCGTGCCTTTTTAACTCGGGCTCCAAATAAACGTTTGACAATCCTGTCTGTTCACATTCCATCTCCAAAGATAATAATGAGCTCAAAAAAAAGTACATAAAAGAGTTGTAACACTCCTCCAAGAAGAAAGAGTTCAGCCACACAGATCCCCTAATGACCTAACTTCTACCCCACCCCAGAAGTGTGGACCCAATTCAAAACTGTTAGCCAAGCTTCTATCTGGGCAACAGCAGGACCACAATGCCTTTCCTGACCAAAAAAAAAAAAAAATCCAAAGAGAATAATCATATAAGTAAGTGTGTGACCTGCACATGTGTTTCTGTAAGGGGAAAGAGGGCATAGAGGAGAAGAAAATTGACTGATTCGGAATATAAAGGAATTATATTCTTATTGGAGCAAAAAGAAGAAAAGAGGTCTGAGCAAAGGACAGCAGCTGTAATGGTGGAAAGAGATTAAAAGTTCGAAATAATGGAACTTTGGTCTGAAGGATGCCTCTGAAAACGTCTGTATTTCCTTGGGTGAGCCATTTTTCTCATCTAGCCTTCAATATTATCAATAACCAGTTAAAAGTTCAGGAAGCATTCTATTTTAAAAGATGCTTCTACATCAAGCAGTGTAAGATCTAAAGACAGAATGAAGGGGGACTTGATCCTTAAATAATGAAAAACTATCAGATTTTAAAGGCTTCCAGAAAGTAAGTCCTCAGATGAGACTCAAGATTTCATTGGCTTACTGGCCCATTTTTTCCTCTGTGTGTATGTGCGCGCGCGCGCGTGTGTGTGTGTGTGTGTGTGTGTGTGCGCGCGCGCGCGCGCGTGTGTGTGTGTGTGTGTGTTTCAGAGACAACATGAACATGGGCATGTGGGTAAATAACTACTCCTATCAAAGTATTTAGCCTCTATTCATACATGATGATTATCCTAAGACCTTTTCAATCAAATCTTCATATTTAGTCGAAGAAACAAAGGAATGCGTTATAATTATATATACAAACATTGACTGAGACATAGCTGGCAGTTAGCATTTTACCCACAGTATTCCATTTCTATTTAAACTAACATTCTTTTTGTCTTTTCCATTAAATTTCTAATACTCTCTATTGCTATCCAGCAAGGCGGAGCTCTACATTTTTGATTGTGCAGAAAGGTGGACACTGATCAGTTTGGGATTACTGAGCTGAAAGAAGCAATAAAGATGACCACCTCATTGTACAAAGACAAACTGGACTAAAGAAAAAAATAAAATTCACACAAGCTCATTGTTAGTTAATGGATTCAGTAAATGGATCCACATTGAAGCACATCGGGGTACACAAATCATATCCTATAGGTCATATGATATGGGAGAGGGGAGTGGATCTAAATACCATCAAACTATAATGCATAAAAATCACAACAATTCAATTAAAAACGCAGGAAAAAGAAAGGAAAGGGAAAGAAAAGAAAAAAGATAGATGACTGGCATAAGGATGCTGTATTACTTTTCTAAGACTCCCATAACAAATGACCATCCATTCAATTGTATAAAGTGACAGTGATTTATTCTGTCATCATTCTAGACCAGAAGTCTAAAATCCTGTGTTAGCAGGCTCATACTGCCCCCAGGCCCTGGAGGAAACTTTTCCTTGCCCCTGGCTTCAATTGGAGCCTGGCATGCCTTGTCCCACAGAAGCACAGTCATTGCCTCTCCAAATTCTTAACTATCATCTAAATAAGTTTACAAACTGAGGTTGAGAATGGATATGAACTTTGGTGGGACACTATTCGGTTCACTACAATTGTTAACTTTTTGTCAAATAAAGATACTGAACAAACAAGCTAATCATCTAGGGTAATATAATTTTTATTGGCAATTTTTGTGTATTTCATACAGAACAGCTCAAACAGTCCTAATCATCTTTATACCCTCATCCCCACTGGCACCCTCCCATAGGTCTTTCCCTCTACCACTGGAGCCCATATACTCGGTCATCCCTGTTAAGGCCCACTGGGTTGTCAGTGTCCCCAGCCGTTCCCCAGTGCAAGTTGTCCACCAAGTCTAGTTAGCCTATCTAGAGTCCCTTGTTTTAGGAAGATCAGCTCTTCATCTACCAGCTCAGTTGCCAAAATTCCTTCAGCTAAGATTGGAGTCTGCTGTTAATTTTCCCAGTTCAATGCTAGGTTACTGTCTGCCTGAGTTTGCATGGGACTTGTGTGTGCTGACACCTATGCCATAGAATCATATGAGCAGGTTCCCAGGCACTTGTAGGACTCTTCCCATATGGTCCTGCACCTCCTCCCTGGCTCTTACAATCTTTCCACCTCCTCTTCCGCAATGCTCCCTGAGCCTTGAGTGGGTGAAGTTTAATAAAGGGATCCTGTCCAAGGATCAGCTTTCAACAGACTCTATGCTTGGCTATTTGTGATCTTCTGTGTTCCTAGTAATATCATTTTTTAAACATATCTAAGTATAAATTAGTTAGGTGAGGAGACCCTTGGAATGCTTTTCCTTAAATCATATAAATAATGGGCTTCTCTCTGTAATTTTAACACATGTATAAAATGCACATTGACTACACTGAGCCACTATTACTCTCAGTTCTCAATCCCCACCACCCACCATTGATTCTATGTGTTGTTCCAAGTAATCCTTTTTCTACATCTATGTCATATATTTTTAAAATCTAGATTGTGCATAGGTGATAAAAGATATGATATTTGTCTTTTTTAGCCTGGCAAACACTTCAAATGATTATCTCACAGAAATGGATTTGTGACCCAATAGAGAATATAGAACACAGAAATTGTACAATTTTATCTCCATAAATATTAATAATATTTCCATAATTTTTCTCACTTCATGGTAAACCAAGAAAAACTTTACCTGGACAACCTTGGGTAATAGTAGAGAATTTTTTAGTGGACAAACCATGATACAGGTCACAAAATACATAACATAGTATCATCTGAATACACTGGAAGTAACTGGAAGCATGAATACATGGACAAAAACAAATTCTGCCTCATGGCAGCCCCAAGGCCAAAGCAGTAATAAAACTGTAGAGAAACTAGCATCAGTGTTGCAGCTACTAAATGTTTAATAACTAAACCTGGAGGAGAAAAGAAATAAAATCATGATTCATAGCATTTGCCCAATTCCACAGTGCGATTATACCCACTATGGACAAGTCCGTGAAGGAGGAGCTGAGAAGAGAAGTAAAGTGCACAGCTGCTTTCACAACCCAGTGCATCCAACTCCCCACACAACTGCTCACAGTCCAATTGGTTTGAAAAATCAGAAGACAGAGTTCAGGATGAATGCCACAGTTTAGAACTGATGTGAAAAACCAAAAATTCAGAAGCCTCCTGCCTTAAATGCCTCCTATAACTGCCCAACCCTGGTAAAACTCATGAAATATGCATATGGAGACAGATTCCAAACAATGTAAATAAAGCTAAAAACATTAAACAGAGTTTTCTATACAGTTCACCACAAGGGAGACTTTGGAGTTAACTTTATCCACTTAACTGCCTACTGAAACAAAAAAACAAAAAACAATATTCAATATCCTACAAAGAAATAAAAATGACTAAAGGAACCCAAAAATGTGCGAGTCATAATGTTGAAGGTATACTCTGAAGCTGCAAGAAAAACAAAGAAATGTGAAAACATTAATCCATAGTTGAGAAAAAGCACAATCAACAGAAATAGGCCTAAATTAAAACAAATGCTGAAATTACCAGAAAGGATTTTAAATAATCTCTCACAACTACATTAATGGAAAATAAAGTTATGATACATGAACAAATACGAAATCATAGGAAAAGTGAAGAATTTTTTAAAAAAGCAAAATTCTAACTACTTTTTATTTTGTTATAAATTTTCTAATATTCTAAGAAATTATTAATTTAAAAACTCTATAACTAAAAATGAAAATGTCTCAAGTAAAGTTCACTGGCCAGGCTGAAGAGGAGATCTAAAATGACAGAAGAAAGGTTACATTAGCTGAAAGATCAATACATGTTATCCAGTCTCATGTACAGAGAGAAAACGATTGAAAAAGATGAAGTGTCAGTAATATGTGGGATAATAACAAATTTATCATATACATGCAATTAAAGTACCAGAAGGCAAACGAGAACTAAAAGAATTTGAAAGAAAATGCCCAAAATATTTTTAAATAAAATGAAAACTCATGAAATTGGGTATGTTAAACATATTCAAACTACTGTGTATTAATTAGAACCTTAAACAGTTCTTAAAAGTAAATAAAAAACATCTATTTTCAAATTCAGCAATCTCAGTGAACCCAAAGCAGTATATCATAAACTGCTCAAATAAACACAAAAGGGAAAATTTTGAAAGCATTCAGGAAAAATGTATACTTAGGAAGAAAAATTAAGTTAAACATGGATTTCTCATAAGAAAAAAGCATTTTATGGGGCTGGAGAGATGGCTCAGTGGTAAACAGCACTGGCTGCTCTTGCAGACGACCTAGGTTCAATTCCCAGCACCCACATGGTGTTTAACAACCATCCTTAAGTGCAGTTTCAGGAG